AAAATTTGTGGCCTATTAATGTATCCCCTGTCACCAATCCCTCTAATTGTTAAATCTCCCCATATATTGGCCTTCTGACAGGATTCTAGGCTGGTGCTCCAAAAAGTTATCTTCCAGCATTTGCACCAAAAGGAATTTTCCTAAGCCCTGAGCTAGGGGGAAAAATTAAAGTAATAAATGAATAAGGACGGGCACAGTCACACAATGAAGCCTTTGACTCTTTTTTAAACCTCTTTTTGGACATTTTTTTCTTGCCCTTGACATGAAAAAGATATTATAAGGAGCCCGTTAAGAAAACAACCTAAGTGTTTGAAACACATACAAGTATTTTAACACCATCCTTGCACTATCAAAGATGCAGCTGTGTTTCAAAGACTCTCCCAGCCTTTGGAACTCCCTCCCACTGGAAGGCAGATTTGCCCCACCAGTAAGTATTTATTTATTAATACCACACATGGGGGGTGGGGGAAAACAAGCATTTAACCCTTGCAATGCAGGAGCAGTTGTTTTTTCTAAACTAAAACCTCAGCACTCACATTTTAATTGCAGTATTGGCACTTTTGAAATAAATAAGTTGGTTTTGTGTTGCAGCTCAAAAAGGTTCACCATCACTGATTTAAGGGAAGAGGTACAATCTCACTGTATAGAATCAACAGGTCTAGGTTACATATAGAGTGAATATCTGAAGGAGATGATTTAAATAGTTTTATTCCAGTATAGTTTCTGGCTTGGTTTTAGGCACCAAGTCACCTTTGTTCAGGTCCACAAATCATGTACAATTGTCACTAGTTTGGAAATTATTTAACATTTCCATCTGTATCTCAAAAACACACCTATGATCAAGGCTGGCACCACCATAAGGCAAACTGAAGAAGTAGCTTCAAGGAGTGGAGTACTAGTAAATCTGTCACCTTCTTCTGGAAGAGTTCCAGCCGCTCTGAACAGCTGTGTCTCCTACGCACAGCTGCCCAGACCAGATGATTCCTACATGCCTTGTTGTGAAGGGTTCTTTAAGCTAAGTCACAATGGGAATGGGGAGTTGGAAACATCATGGCACAAGCAAGTTTGCCAATCACTCATACCATTGCTCATCAGAAAATCCCTTGGGGCTGGGCAGGTAGGAGTTCAGCAGCCCTATGCATGGGATGGGGCAGAGGACTGTCTCCTTTCCTTCTTGCTTTGGCAGGAAAGGTGCTTCCTTCTCTAGTGGATGAAGTGCAACGGTCTCTTTTTCCTCTTCTGGCTAAGTGAGGGGCACAGCTGCATCTGTAGAACAAGGGTTCCTTCATGGTGTGGAGGCAGAGCGGGTGTCCCGGCCTGGCGTGCTCTGGTCCATGGGATCATGAAGAGTCGGACATGACTGAATGACTAAATGATAATGAATCTATGAAGCTACTAAACCTAAATCTTATTTCTAATTATATCAAGTAAATAATATTTATGTATTTATTTATTTAATTATTTAATCCCATTTATATCCCACCTATCTGGTCATTGCGATGTGTTGGAAAGGTAGCCTCCTCTTCCATCGCAAGGGGATGTGGGCTGCCATGTGGTGCTTGGGGGGGGGCTGCTGCTTTTCTTCTCCTCTCAGGTTGTTGCAGGTGACTTCATCCCCCTCCTCTAATATAAATAATTAAACTAGATGTAAATGTAGTTGGTTCACCAGTTGGTTAACTCAAACTCAGTTGAATCATGAACTAAATATGCATAAATTGTTTGGCAGTCTACTGAAGACAGGGTATATTTGTCCATATAAGACTATATATGGCGGCTATTCAAGATAGAACTAAAAATATTTTAGAAATTGAGGGGACAAGGATGCAACCAGCACCCATTCTTCAGCTGACCTCTTATCTGAAAGACAAACATGTCCCCTCTCTCCCCTTCTGAAACGATCTCTCAAACAGAACATGTTTGTTTGCTTGCAAGTTCATTCATTCATTCATTCATTCATTCATTCATTCATTCATTCATTCATTCATTCATTCATTCATTCATTCATTCATTCATTCACTCACATTGTAATCTTCTTTTGCCAAATGTACACACAACACATCTTTATCAGGGCATCCTTCTTTCCTCACAGTGGCAGCCATCTTGGGGCATACTTTATATTGCTCTTTGCCACAATGTGGGTTTCCATTTGGTTTCCACCACCCCATTTCCCCACTTTCTTTTGTAAATCTGGTGGATTAAAAAGGGCATTTGCTTCTCTTTTATCAACCTGATGGGTTAAAGAAAGCATGGTGCTTAGTAGCTTTTTATTCACAAAGATGGGGTGGCAGCATTTAGGAAGAAAATTCTATGTTGCACATTGCATCATTTCTCAACCCCCGCCTTCAGAAACATGCCTGATGTTACAACAACTCTTAAATTGCTGGTCAGAAAATTATCTTCAAATTGGGAAACAATAACAGCACAAGGTTGCACAGCAAGTTTGTAATCCACCAATTTATTTCCTCACATCTGTGCTGGAAATATGAATGAAAGTCATGGGGCAGATCTCTTTGTATATTTGCTTTATTTTCTATAGAAAAAAATATACCTGTCATTGTTGGGAAAGGTGGTTTCAAAGCCTACTTTTCTGAATTGTCTCTATCAGTGTGCAGTTATTAGGAGCTTTAATGGTAGAAATCTACTCCATAAATTAGAAATTTAGAAAGTGGCTGGATTCTTGAGATTCTTCCAGGTTCTCTAGCGTATGAATGGTATGTGGCTATGAGGCAATGCCTTTTTAATGGTGGTATCAGATCCAAAGAATGAGACCTCTAGAGAGACTCCATGGAGGTCCATCTTCATGACATCAGCTCAAGAAAGACTCTTTTAAAAAAACAGTCCTTGCAATCAGGTCCTGCGTTAAATTGGTTTTATCTGGGTTGTGTTTTGCTATGGTTTTTTTTTTCTACACGTTCTTGATTTATTATATGGATTTTAATTTTACTTGTGTTGCAAGCTGCCTAAATAACATTGTTCTAAGGTGGCTATAAATATCCCAAATCAATAAAAAAAATGCCCTGTGTGCGTTTTGATAGAGTTTAGTAAATCAGACTGGCAGTGTTTGTGATTAAGTGAGGAGTGCTGTGTAGGTGCTATCTAAAAGTAAATGACCATCCAATCAAGGTGGGGGCTGCACATTGTAGCCAAAGTAGAGTGGTGTGTGCCATATCCTCTAAGCATCCACACCTACAGAATTCATCACTGAGAAGGTCTTTGCATGTACAATTACACACACAGAGGCTTTGGGGGCAATTTAGAGCCCAGTTGAGCAAGGTCTTGAAGTATACAGAAACCTCTGTGCATATAGCAGTCTTCTCTGGTCCAGGCATATCTGCTGTTAAATAGATGTGTGGGCAAAAGCTACAGGGCGAGTATGTCAGAGCAGGCCTACATGGTGTGAATGCATCTCTACTCTAATAGGTTTTGGCTTAGCTCTTTCCCATTCATGTCTAAGAAACTCACTTGTCCTTGTTATTGCTATAAGTAGATTGTTTTTGTTTTTATTTTTGCTTTTATAGAGTGGATGGATGGATGGATGGATGGATGGATGGATGGATGGATGGATGGATGGATGGATGGATGGATGGATGGATGGATGGATGGATGGATGGATAAAGTTCTGTAGTATGTGAATCAGAAACCTGTGGATTTCACAGTGATTTCCTCTACATTTGGGAATGAAGCATATGTCTACAACCATCGTGACATGGATAAAATCTGTGAGTGCCCAGGTCATATTATATCACACATGTAGTTGGAGGTGCTGCAAAGATTCATAAACTACGCGATTAGAATGTGGAAAGGAACAAGCTTTTCTCTTACATGAAAAGTATAGGAGGAAGTCTTATGAGTTTGCATGGCACCACAAGATTTTTATCATTGCTCCTGTCCTGCATCTCAAGTTGACTCATGGTTCCCTTTAATGTTTTACTCAGATTCGTTCAGATAAGGACAGTGAGATCCATATAAGATACAGCATCACAGGAGTGGGAGCTGACCAACCTCCTATGGAAGTCTTCAACATTGACCCCGTGTCAGGGAGGATGTACGTGACCCGCCCAATGGATAGAGAAGAAAGAGCATCCTACCATGTAAGCATGCAACTTTTCAGCACTTCCAGTAACTTGGTGTCTTTTCTTTCTTTCTTTCTTTCTTTCTTTCTTTCTTTCTTTCTTTCTTTCTTTCTTTCTTTCTTTCTTTCTTTCTTTCTTTCTTTCTTTCTTTCTTTCTTTCTTTCTCTTTCTCTCTCTCTTGTCCAGCTGCCATTCTCGATACATATCATTCTCTCTCTCTCTCTCTCTCTCTTGTCCAGCTGGCATTCTCAATACATATCAATCACACACTCAAAGTTCTGGCATTTCAGAAATCAACCTCTCAGTTCTTAACTGTGGGGGGAAGTTGTGTGAAAAATGGATGGAAGGACAGATAGATATTTGATGCAACTCCGGCTGTATAAGAGAAGGATTAGAATAAACAAACTGATATTATGAGGAAGATCCAAAAAGAGCAGTGATATCTTTCAAAACTTTTCATATTGGTATCAAAATAAGATTGAACACTGTTCCCTTTACAATATTTTGTATATTTTCTAGGTACTACTACAGCTATTACTGTTACTATTGCTACTGCTTGATTTCTGAAGTATTTCAAATTTTAAATACCAAATAATCCTAACAGTTAAAATACAGGGACCTGGCTTTTAGCAAACCAGACCAATGGCCCAGCTATATATCTATAGCTGTACCTATGTTTTGGCTGATTGGCAGTAGGTCTTCAGGGTTTCAGGAAGAAGCCTTCCCAGGTTTGACTAGAAATGCCATGAATTGAATCTAGGATACTCTGAGCTACAGCCCTTTCCCAATTATACATAAGCCTTCTATTTTTCATGTATAAGTGAAAAAACATGCCTGCTTCCTATGCACCGGATTGCCTCTTGTGGATCCCAGGAAGGCTATGAAACCTTTGGTTACCTCTGCCTACACTGAATGCATCTCTCATGAACAAAATGGCTTTCCAAATCACCACTGAGGATGCTCTAAAGTGCCCTTGAAATTGCATGGGTCACCTTGACTGACTTCATCCTCTTAAAGGTATTCCGTGCCAGGCTCTGATTCCACCAAGTCATATTTGTTTTGGTACACATTTAGCTATGTTCACACTGTTTGTCGACAGAGGTGGAGGAATAAGGAAAGTATTTTAGCTCCTTAGCTGAATGGACGAAGAGATTTCCCCGGGGCTAAAAGGGAATCCAAAGGAAAGTTATTTTATTTTCTTTGAACAAAAGCAATTATTATCTCCAGTGATCCTGGTAAAATCCGAAGTGAACAGATATATGTATAGGTTTTGCGCTGCTTCCCAACTGCCAATAATGTGTCACTGTTGGCAGGTCATTATAACTGGGGTATAATTGGGGTATAAGGTCTCAGAATAATGCCTTTGATGTAGTCATTAGGATTCTAGTATTGGAACTTCTCAGTCAAAAAGAAATAACTTTGCCTGCCATAATGATGACTTTAGGTGACCCTGGACTATTTAATAACAAGTGTTCTTATTAAGTATCCTAAGCTAAGACAATGGTTTCTTTTGGGTTGCTCAGAAATAACTGCCTGTCTCTTGTTACTTTGTATTCATAGTGAAGAAAGAGAGCAGCTGAGTTTCTTATTCCCAGAGATCCTGGTTTTTACCTGGTTCTGCGCAGGTGTGTTCTTCATTCGCAACAGCAGTAACAACCTCTTGCCTAATAATGCTGAGAACATTTTGCAAGAGGCAGGACATAGTCCCAAATAAAGTAGTCCTAGATCGAGCTGGAATGTTTAGCATGTATGGACCTTGGAACAGTGACGTCTATGTTGGCTTGGGCATGTTGTAAGAATGGCTGATGGTCGGATTCCAAAAGATCTCCTGTATGGAGAATGAGTGCAGGGAAATCGTCCCAGAGGGAGACCACAGCTGCGATACAAGGAGATCTGCAAGCAGGATCTGAAGGCCTTAGGGATGGACCTCAAGAGATGGGAAATGTTGATATCTAAGTGTTCAGCTTGGAGGCAGGCGGTGCATCATGGCCTCTCCCATTTTGAAGAGATCCTTGTCCAGCAGGCCGAGGCAAAGAGGCAGTCCCGAAAGCAGCAAAATCAGGGAGCTAGATGGGTCGCAGATTGTATTTGTCTTCAGTGTGGAAGGGATTGTCACTCTCGAATTGGCCTTCTCAGCCACACTAGACATGGTTCCAAGACCTCCAAGCAGAGCACGATACCATAGTCTCTCAAGACTGAAGGATGCCTAATCAAATCAGGTTTGCAAGAGGGAATGCTGTCCCATATTCTGGAGTACTCTTCACAGTTCACACCTGTCACAAAGTAGCTAAAACAGAATCCTGTGGGTGTTAATTTAGATCTTGTATAACTTGCTGTGGCTAATTGTGGTTAACTGGGCATATACTCCATTGTGCAATCAGATGCAGGACCACACCTGCAACTTGAGATGCAAGCTGCATAAGCCTTACATGAACACCAATAAGGTTCTGGCTTTTCAGTTTACACTTGAAAATGCAACGTGTGAATATGGCTAAAGCATGTTTAAAATGGGAATACCATACCGAGTTGGTTTGGCCAAGCTAGCGGCAGACCCTGATAAGTCCGAATCGATTAGTCCAGAAAACAGGTAGTAGCTTTCAACCATTCCGTGTTTCCATGACTTTCCATTGAGGATTCAACGTGTTTTTTAGCCCTAAAGAAATCCCTCTTCATGTTCAGATATGATTATAAGAAGCATAGACTGGATCAGATAAAAACCTAGCATTCTGATCAGTATTGGACAGTTAGATGCCTCAGAGAACTCCACAAGTAAGACCCATGCAAAAAACTTTATCCCATCATTTTCTACATCAACAAACTTTAAGAAGCATATATTGGGAGAATATATAGCTTGGCAGGAAGACAGGAGGGCCTGGCGTGCTCTGGTCCATGGGGTCACAAAGAGTCGGACACAACGCCTAAACAACAACATATCTGGTAGTCCCACATAGACTGTGGTTGTATCTAAGCCCCATAGTTTCTATGGGTCTCTCTCTCTCTCTCTCTCTCTCTCTCTCTCAGAAAAAGGGGTCCTTAGTACCTAGTGTATGTGAATCCACAGTGCAGACAGAACACACTTGAGGTTTTGCTGACCAGTTCTGTATGTGTTGGCTTGGGAAAAAGACTTATGTCATTCCATAGGGTTTATTTTCAAGAGAGCATGATAAGCTCTCTGGTCCTGTGTTCAGTTCCCATAGCAGCCAGCCAGTTGCCTATGGAAAATCCACCAAGCAAGAGAAAAGTAAAGTCACACTGTTCCTGTCCTATGTGGCAGCAAGTGGCACTGTGAATCATATGGCCACTTTCCATTAAAAGTGTGATATTGAAGTAAGATCAGGTGGATTTATTCGTGAACAAGTGTATGTTCAACCACAGCCTCAGACCAGCAGCACCAGGTGCAAGAACATATTAACGAGCAGCAAGATAGAGAATGAAAAGCAGGAGGAGAGGCAGGAAGGGAGAGAGGAACAAATGATCATCTTATGCAAGTGGTTGTTAGAAGCAGTTGCTTTGGGTAATTACAGGCGATGATTAAAGGCAACTTTGGGAAAACGGGTTTCTGAAAGCAGGTGTGGTTCTGAATTTTAACAGTAAGCCAGTGTAAAGCAAGTAGTTAATGATGTTTCTCCCTGTTTCCTACTTTGGCTCGTTGAGTAGCATCTTAAGGCTGGACTCCTGGACAAATGAAAATATTCTTGCGGATCTGTGGAATTTCATCAGTTTGTATCAGAAACCATATTTTCTATTGCACAGTCCTCCCTACTGAGCTCCAAGCATGCAATCCAGTTAGTGTGTTCCCATAAAAACTCCTTGGACATGGTGACAGACTTGGGTCTTCCCACTGTTGGCTTTCTATGTTTGATTTCCAAATCAATTAGACTCAGAATTAGTGCAGATATTAATCAAGAGTTCTGGTTCATTATAACTCTATTTTTCAATGCATGCTTTCCTTTTAACCTAATTGCATTGCTTCATGATCATAATTATTATACCATTGTTACTTTTCTAATTGTCCATGTTCACCATCCATTTCCCCAGTTAACACTAACCCCTCTCTCTCTCTTCCCCCCCCCCTCTCTCTCTCTCTCTGTGTGTGTGTGTGTGTGTGTGTGTGTGTGTGTGAGAGAGAGAGAGAGAGAGAGAGAGAGAGTATTCATACCAAGGAAAATACACTGTTAGTTTTGCTATAGATTTTGCTTGGAATAATACTGTTTGTAAAATCCCCTTTATATTTCTGAAGGTGGATGGCAGCTATGGTGTCATCCATACAGGACTTTGGAGCAAGACTCCTCAGCTACACTCGAACTGCTTTAACACATTTTGAAATACAGTAAATGAAGTAATACACATTACAATCTGAAAAGGGGAACATCCTTGAGCCCAGAGTCTAACGACCAGAAGATCATGTTTTAAGGCACAAACATACAGTGTGCCTCGCTTAACGACGATAATCCGTTGCAGGAAAATCACCGTTAAGCGAAAACATCATAAAGCGAAATTAAAAACCCAATTGAAACACATTGAAACCCGTTCAATGCATTCCAATGGGGTAAAAACTCACCATCCAGTGAAGATCCTCCATGCGGCATCCATTTTCGCTGCCTGTATAGCGATGAATCCATCCCTAAGCAGAGCAGGGAGCCATTTTAAGTACACGGTGGCCATTTTGAAAACCTGACAATCAGCTGTTTTTGATCATCGTAAAGCGAAAATTGGTTCCCGAAGCAATCATCGCTAAGCAAAATTCCCCCATTTAGACCATCGTTTTGCTATTGCAATTGCGATTACAAAAAGATTGTTGTAAAGCGGATTTGTTGTAATGCGGGGCAATAGTTAAGCGAGGCACCACTGTACTTCTTCCTCTTACAGATTTATCCCTCAAGGCAGGTTATGCCTTTTAGTGTTTTCTGTGCCTTTGACATCAGACATGTGGCAGGAAAAATGCTATCTTCTGACTTCTCTCTGTTCATGGTATGAATCCCTGCTCAGGCATGAATGCTCACTGGGAGGTTGCAATG